CAAGTCATGGGATGCGATATGCAATTATACAGATGGCGGTAGTATCGCGTAGAAATGGGCTGCGCATTGACTGAGCTTTCATTCGCACAACGTGAAATAACAGACTTTGAACGCGGAATGGTGCTTGGAGCTAGACGCATTGGGCATTCCATTTCCAAAACAGTTAGGAAATTCCATATTCCGAGATTCACAATATCAAGAGTGTGCCGAGAATAACTAATTTTCGGTATCACTTCTCATCACAGACAACACAGCCTTCACTAAATGATCGAGAGCAACGGTGTTTGCGTGGAGTTGTCAGTGCAGACAGAGAAGCAACTCGGAAATAGCCGCAGAAATCAATATGGGACTTACGATGAACGTATCCAATAGGGAAGTACGGCGAATTTTGGCTTTAATGGGATCGGGCAGCAGAAGACCGACTCAACTGCCTTTGCTAACAGCACATTGCCTGCAGCGCCTCTCCTGAGCTATTGACCATATCGATTGTACCGTAGACGACGAAAATTTTGGCTTGGTCAGTTGACTAGAAATTGTTATGTTCAGCTACTTTGAGATCATTTGCAGCCATTCATGAACTGCATGTTCCCAAACAACGATGTAATTTTTATGGATGACAAAGCGCGATGTCACTGGTCCATAATTGTTCGCAATTGTTTTAAAGATCATTCTGTGTAATCGAACGAATGGTTTGGCGGCCCAGATCGCTCGCCGTGAATCCCATCGAATATTTACGGGACATCAATCGAGAGGTAGTGCACATAATCCTGCACCGGCAATACTTTTGCAATTACGGACGGCTATATAGGCAGCATGGACACATTGTTTTTGGAGGGGAATTTCAACGGCTTGTTGAGGGCAGGCCACGTCGAGGTGCAGCTCTTCGCCGCGAAAAAGAGCTCCAACACTATAATAGGAGGTATCCAATGACTTTTGTCACCGCAGTGCATACCACATGCGGACGGATCAATTTATCAAACTCTAATAATAAGGCCGGGATAGACAAATAACTTATTTCTTTTGTGTAAAACAGTAATTTATTTTGTGTAAAAAATTAGGTAAAATAGCGTTGTAGCCAGAAAATGATACAAATGCAGATAAATCAAAATGATAATTTTGCCCATTTAGCACTGAAAATCCGTAGACTGCGTCGCCGTCGCGTCCCCACTCAATCTGGCTTCTATTTTACCTCCGACTTGCTATACTCCGACTTCAACCCGCATCAAGTTACCGTAAGCTTAAGTCCTTCGCTTGTCCTTTATTGTTAGATCTTCGGATTATCGATCACCCTGATCATCCTGAAGTTTCTATTGAAATGGATTAACTACCATTAATTTGAAAATATAGCATTTTTGTAAATACAGCTTCATTTAATTGCCACTAATCCTTTCATTTAAGTTCCTCCCTAATATTTTACCTGTTCGTGCAGTGTTGACCAAGAATGGTAATCGATTTGTTCTCAAATCAATGACTCCGGAAGACCAGCAAAGATAAATTTTGTCATTTTCCAAAGATGATTCCATTAAAATGATAAATTATCAAAAACAGTCGCAATATTATTTAAAAAATTATTTCTGAAGAACTGAATATCATTTTCACCACTTTGACCCTGACTGTCTTCGAGCGGGCATTTGGTCGCTTCTACACATTTTCGGCATCCCATCGCGGCTACGCATTATTTAGTAGATACTGATGCAGTAACTTCTCAGAATTAATTGTCCGGTTTGATGGCTTAAGATTTATTAAGTTTTTATAGAAATTTGCTTCAAGCGTGTTTTTCAAATACGTTCGAATCTTCTGTAAGCACACATATGCTCTGGAATTTTTTTTGCGAGCAACTGTAATCTTCCTCGAGAACAGCAAAATGAAATCTAGGTGCTCACAATTTGAAATGGTTGTACCGTTCTGAGAATAAAAATATTTATTGTTCCAAATAAAGAATAGCTCCTAATCAATTGATTGACTAGTTAGTGATTCCGGGCTCCTTAAGTGTGGCATATGTTTTATCGTGGGAGGTGGAGTTAACTTCCCACGCTGGATGACACGATCCGGCGCGGACCTATCCGACGGCTTGCGGGGTTTTCCCCAATCAGATGTGTCACCAGATGGGCACCGCCCCGGCCGGACAAGCTCCCGGAATGTGTGGTGGTGTAGTGCATGCATGTGTGTGTAAGGGGTGAGGACAGGACAGGGTAGAGGAAGGAACAATGGGGTGCGGCCCGTGACCCTTTCGTTAGGGTACTGCTCTATCATCCGCCTGGTGTTGATCGGAGAAATCACGAAACACTACCGATCAGAGCAGACGGCCGCTAATTTTTGTCCTCCAGTGTCTGGTTTTTGATAACCGATGATTGATACAATCGAGTATTAGTTGATAAAATGAAGATCAACGTACCGTGTACTGCAAAAAATATTAAGGAAGTTGAAAATTAATTATTTCTAATAACTGATAAAAGGCTCGAAACAAACAAAAATTGAATTTGCTCCTCTTCTTCATCGTTAGGATGTTTAGATGTCCACTCTATCGTCTCAGAACATTTCTCCGCATTTCGCACTGCAGAATGTTATGGCCAGTTTTTAAAACACACAACACTTTGTAATTATTCCACAACAGTCAAGATAAAAAACCATTGCAGCCAAGAAATGGAAGCGTCTCCAGTCATTGAAAATCGATAAATCTACACAAATGTTGGTGTGCAGAAATGTTGTTTTAGTCATTAATGTGCAAGTCCTTGTGTTGAAACTACAAAAGTTGTATATTACAGAGAAATATGTTATTCGGTCCATGAAGCAAAAGGTTTGGAATCCGTGGTATAGAGAGTACTCTGCTCCAATATCACCAGTACTAAACTATTAAAGAATTAAAAATATCCTAAGATACTACCGTATACTAGGACTCTTCACAGAATCATAATTAAGCCAGATTAAAAGGAGGACGTAATGCATACATACTAAATGCATACATACTAAATGCATACATTCTAAATGCATACATTCTAAATGCATACATTCTAAATGAATACATACTAAATGCATACATTCTAAATGCATACATACTAAATGCGTATATACTAAATACGTACGTAGTAAATTCGTACATACTACGTACGTACGTACTACATGCGTACATAAAACATGCGTACATACTTACATGCATTTTATTCATATTCTGGTATTCGAAATACCAGACCAAATCGCAAAACAACTACAAAACACTTCTCTCGCTCCTAGCTATTAGGATTCGAATCATTACTATTCATATCATCTGTAATTTGTGGTAAGCAAAACGAGCTTGTGGTTCGTTTTCAAAAAGTTCTGCAGTTTTACCCGTCAGACATTGTTTTATCAGTCATCTAAATGAACAATAACATGGTGACCAGTAATGTTTTTCATTTAACAAAATAAATAGGGTAATTCGAAAGCCTCAGTTGCGGTCTTTGGGCTGCTGCGATAAAGGATTAACAAAAATGCCACACAAATGTTAGGTGAAACACAACATAGTGGTTCAGCACAGTGTTTTCTATAATCTATTATATATTCAAGGCAATCTTTTGGATTGTTAGTATTTATGGTACTTGTTCTTTCTCTGTAAAATAAACATATAATTGGTGTAAAATATTTGACAAAATTTGTATTTATAATGTTATCCGAATATTTTATAATAATATTCTGAGATTATATCAAAGTTGGACGATCCCCAGATCGATGAGGGAAATAGTAAATGGTTTGTGTATATTTTTGTTAGCCACACGTTTTTACAGAATTAGTACATATCACACTATTAACTTTGCAAAGGGTTTCCGGGACAAAAACAAGCTCGTCTCAAAAGACGAACAAGTATTAATTACTTTTTTCTATAAGTGCAAAAAAAAAAAAAAACAACTCAGAAAACACATTTTTCTACTATGAATGGTAAATACCGTGTATACTTTACACTAAACCGAACTACGGCGCAAACAGACATGGTTAGGCTGTGTCGGCACCACACCGGTTCGCAGCCGGCCCAAGGCTTAGCGGGTGTGTTCAGAGGTGGGCGCCTGTGTTTCAGTATGCCGGAAAGGGACACTTAGGCCCTATACCAAAATCTGGATATAGTGAGATACCAAAAGATCAGTTTCTGTCAGACTGCAAATGTACGGAAATAACTTCAATGATCATGGGGAGTGTACAATTTAAATAAGACACTCAGAAAAGTGTACTTTATCTTATACTAAAGTTAGTACTATTTTTAAATTCCACTTAAAATTTTCATTGCAGGACTTGAATTACGGCAAAATGTTCGTAGTTTAAATGAATGAAGTTCATAGCACATGTTAGTTTCCATATTAGCACATGTGTTTTCCCATAAGAAGTAATTAATTCTAGACGCGTCTAATGAGTGCATAATTACATTTTCAGCTGTGTTGATTTTCACATATTGTAATTAAATAAATAGCTGCACATAATAACTGTATTATTGCAATTACATCTTCCTTTAATTAAAAATGTTGTTCCCTAATTTGGAATTTGAAACACTTCAAAAATTCTAAAACAAAACTGTATTGTTGCGATTTTATGATTTAATACTTGCACTGCGATCAAGTGTGAGATGATCAATGTAGAATAATGAGGATGGAAATATCGTTCAGTAATTATATGAAATGATGCTTTGTGTTCAATTTCTTATCGCAACCTGGACAAAAAAATGTGTTCTCTTGTAATTCTCTATAAACATTTCTGTAGAACACATTCTCATTTTAGAATTCACACAACTATTATTGCTACAAAAGACGGAATCTGTAGTGCTTCAATAATTTGTGTGTATTTAAATAGAAAAATAATCAATAATCGGTTATATTTAGAGATTTTATTATCGAGTCCGGCGAGTCAAAAACTTTGTTGTAACTTTCTTGACTTGCTGAAATCGAGAATGAAAACTTTAAACGCATAGCAATGCACGTGCTACTATTTATATTAATAATATTTGTTAGTATTATTACTATTATTATCATTCTTATTAGACTTATGATTACTATCAGGTATTTAAGAAACCATATTTAGATACAAAACCAAGAAAGTCTCAATGAATATCACAACAAACTGTTAAACAAATTGATTAAACTTCAAAAGGATATTAATATGACTATATTGACGCTTCTTTCTCTATAGTTTTATCTTGAAGTCCCGCATAGTTGGGAAAACTTTATTATTATTATTATTATTATTATTATGCGTTGAAAATAGTGTTACCTTTAGACATAGAAACAAGAATTCTATTTACTGTAGCAGATTCGAGAATTAGTTTCTACAAGGAATGTGCTGAAATTTGATTTTCTGTTCTAGTTTTGGTCTGCTTACGTGCCTTGTGGTGCACAATACTTGGATGCTGTGCAGCTGACCCTTGAACAGATAGATCTTATTAAACGTTTGGCCGAATTACATCCGGAACATCTGACTCTTGTGACGTCCGTCAAAGGTAAGTACATTGGCTTATCCTTTTTATCATCGCAAAGTACTTACAATATTGTTTTTTAATACGAACATTGTATTTAATGCACAATTTTGTTGTCCCCAACAATATCCATGATATGTTGACAATAAAGAGAAAGTTCAAAATTTGAAATCAATAATTAGTAATTAATTTTTTGATAATGTTCTAAAGATAATAATGGTCCTTACATTGCACTAATAATAATAATAAATATAATAATAATAATAATAATAATAATAATAATAATAATAATAATAATAATAATAATAATAAAATTTCTATAACAATATACATTAATAATGTGCAAAAGGTTGTTCATTCGGGAATATATTCTTGTTTTGCAAGTCCCCCATTAAGAGTTATTAACTATAAATAAATCAGTAATTAAATTAAACAAATTTAAAGAGCTCTTTGCAAAGTATACCTGAAGAAGACAGTACTAATTCGCTTGGGAAGTTTTATGTTGTTGGAGGTAGATATGAAAAGGCAGGTTTGAATAATTACTTCTTAAGTTGTGGTATCAGACAATGATACAAAATATCTGAATTGATAGAATGCTCTTTTGTCTACTCCTCTTTAATAACAAACATTAAATTAGTCAACTTACACGATTTTAATTAAATCCTTTGAATACTTTCAATGGAAAATACTAGTGTACTTGCGTGTTGAGACGATAAGAACGCTATTAGTATTTCATATTTGTTACCATTTCTAGTGCCCGCTGAGTAAGAGAATAGAATTCCTAAACAATTGTTCAGTTTTAATTTTTTTTTTCAGTTAAGTTCTTCTTAATCATGTAAAATGCAGTAATCCATGTTCAATGCACTACGCCCCTACTGTACATTACCAAACTGAAAATGTTTACGTTTTTATGATGCTAATATTTTTAATTGCGTTATATTATAAATGCCTGTAATCGTATTATGGAATCATTAATCGTCAAAGGAAACGTAGGCTGCATTCTTTTTGACATTTTTCAACGTTCCCCCACACATGATTTTTCACCATCATGTTCCCACCATGTTCCATGAACGAACTCGTATATCTGCTTTATAATTGCGCTGAGTAACATTCAACACGCCTACATCTGTAATTGATGTTAATCTTCAATTTCATGAACAAAAAAGTATCACGGTTATACATAATAACTACCGTCGTACTAAGAATAATGAACAGAATTACCTCTGTTTAGCGGCAACATTCTCATTCATAACTGCCACCTTAAAAGTGTATTCTGTACGAAAATGCAAATGACCGTGGTTTCCTTTTTGCATGGATATTTCAGATTTTCCGTGAAATTAATCGCTAGGGTCTGAGATGGAAGGCAGAGGTGGGCTCAGTTGGGCACGCAGTGATCGGCCTACACAGGGCAGATTGTTTATATTATTAATTTAAAAGGCATACAAACGTGGTTGGGGGAACGGAAGTGGAGGGGGGAGGGCATCGCGGCGACTGTGGCGCTGCGCTCTTTCGTGCGGCCCTCCCACGAGTCACTGGCGTGGCAGTGAAGCACTGTGTGCTGGACACTATATGACGGGCAAAAATCGGCTTGATTAGAAAAATCCTGTCGATTACAAACTACTTGTCTTTTTTCTTTGTTTACATTGTCTTTTTCGAAATCATTTTGTTTTTCAGAGGCGTCGAATGTTTCCAATTTTAATACCTTTTTCACCCTAATTTAAATACACGACTTCGAATGATTTCTTTCGTTATTTTCGCTTCATTCTTTTATTTTTCTTTATTTTGTATTCTATATAACTACTTCAATGATTTGTAACGAGATTCCTTAAAATGTTTGTATACGCTTTAAACTACATTGTTTCCCACTGAATATGTATTTACAGGGTGCAACCATCACGTCTTCAAAGAATCGCCACAATACAAAAACGATGTGAAGTGAAAAGCGTGAAAACATTAACTCTAAAAAATTTAAATGAAACCAAATTAAAACAATTCGATGATGAAAATTGATTTTGGAACTTAAAATTTCATGTTAAAAATATATGAATAAACGTATATATTATGAAACAAGTGACCTATATTAAAATTGTTCCCAATTTGAGAATACTACAGGGAAACGAAGCACTTTTCTAAATTAAGAGGAACTTCACAGATTACATAGATATTTATGAATATTATATATTTAAAACAATAAATTAATTTATAGAATGAAAATATATTCACCATAATGAAAGAGATATTGTTGTCCCTTTTAATTGAATATTCTTGCATTAATGTGCACTACAGTTCTTCATGTAATCAAGTAAAATGCACTAAACCATGCTCAAGCGTCTCTTATGCTTCCTCTTCTTTACTTCTCTCAACAGGGCATGACTTCCTTACTCTGGACTTTATTTCCTTGCACCACATACCATTGCACTTTATTACACAAGTCCCATTTTATTCTATTGTTCTCTGACTTACACAATTACACACTCTCATTTGCATATCATTAACATTTTTAGACAAAGTTCGCAGCGCCTCTGCGCGGACGGTGAATTTTAACCCGCAGTTTTCAAGACAATGTATTTAAGAAGTAGACACAATGACGATAGGAAACACCAGGAAATGACGTTCTGAAGCGGGTAGAGGGGGCGACCCGTGGTGTAGCGATCAGACCCATATAGATAATTTTTGTTTTCTTGTCATATTGCTTTAGTCGGAAAAAGAAAATTTCGTAAACGTGCGTCGGAAATCTGCGATTTATCAGTAGAAAATCTATTGTCCGTCTTGGTAACGAAATGGCGAATAAATCTTATTCCGGAATGTAGTAAATTACTTCGTTTAAAACGTTGTGTAGTAACAAGTCATGTTTTGTCGGACCTTGATACCGGAAACTCGATTGACGGCAAACGTCTGCTTGTCTGATGGCGCCTAAATCGTTCAGATGGTTTTCTCCAAAATTGATGTTTCTCGACCGATTTCCCGCTCTACGAGTTTGAATCGGATATTTTGAATTTGGGAGTACTTCACATAAAGCCTCAACAATGTTTTCAAAATTCTCTCAAAAATGGTTCAAATTTTTATTATATAAAGGTATTTGTATCTCTTTATTGAAGCATACTGAACAGCTGCCTTGGTTATTCGTTGGGACTTGCTGATTTGCGAGATAAGTAACAAATCTCTAGAAACATATTTATTTCGACATCAGATAGCTAGGGCAAACGATATTCTGTACATCCCCTACAGAAACAGTCGGTTGTTGTATGAAAAATAAGAACCAACAAGCGTCATTGAGCATTATGTACGCCTTCAAGAGCTCACATTGAACCAATAAACGTATGAATTTTCAATTTGCAAATTGGTTATTCCCCAAAGCGAATGGTTGGAAGTTCTTAGCGACAGGTTTCAACTTTAGCGTTTATTCAACGAAAGTGCGCGGGAAGGCTATAGTGGCATTTCTTCACTACATTTCGTCAATTCATTTATTTACTTACTAGCTCTGTTACCTAAATTGTGACGGGCTGATCGCAAGTTCATTTAGGCAAATATTTTGTTTTATTTTAAGTCTCAGTAAATTTCCGAAATAAATATTTTCCCCGTATAATAGGTAGCATTTTTATATTCATTCATTCTGGCAATTTCATATCATATTTTTAAAAATAGTGTCTCCGTGAAAAATATAGATACTTTAGGATATATGTGGCCAAAAGTAAGGGCCTGCGATTTTAAAATTGAAGGCTAAAAAACAGTCATAAAACACGATTTTTCAGCAGAGCGAAAAAAGTTCCATGACGACATTGATAGACATTTGAAGCAATAAAATTGTTGTTCACTTTATCAAGCTTTCGTAAATACTGACGAACGCGTAATTGTAGCTCAAGTTTGAACTGTATTGCGAAAATTATTTAATTATTATTAATTTATTAATTATATATACGTGCGTGTGCGTCTGTGTGTGCGCGCGCGTGTGTGTGTGTGTGTGTGTGTGGTGTGTTGCAGCACCACTTGTTTAGATGATCTACATGTCACCTAAGCGCTTAATCTGTGATATCTTTTACTCCACGTTTTTTAAGGATCGTCTTAACAAATTGTGCTGAAGGCGAGAGTGAGATGCAATTGCGCGAGCGCGATAGGAAAGTTATGTGGGGAATATATCTAAAATCAGTTCGTTTTAAATAATTTCATTTCGGAACCGAGATAAAAATGTCATTCAAACTTCTTTAACGAAGACGGTACTAACAGAGGTCTTATTCCATCCAGAAGCTATAAAAAAGGGAAAACTATTGCCGAATCGTTTATTAAGTCCGTGTCGTTAAGGCGGAGTGAATCTTTAATTGCAATATCAGTTGATTATCTTTTAGTTTGAACAATGGTAGCTTGCGGTTTAATTACGACTACGGAGTCTGCTTCTGACAGAGCAGACATCGCAGCTTGGAGAGGCTTGGCCGCCTTGATGTGTGTCATATAGAGGGCTGCGCACATTTTTCTGGAACCAAGCGCCAAGTGCCAACTCCATCTTCCTATGTGAAGATATGTTACGAACAATTTTATTGGGCTGGGTGCTAAACAATACACAAATGAAATCGTTAATTTACTGCCTTCGTCGTTATTACCTTTGTCTTGATGTGCTTTCACTAGACTCATTCGCCTCAAAGGTGAATGTGAAGCAATTAAGAAATGGATGGCACTCTAGTACATAAGAAAATAATAATATGTGACGTGAAATAATAATTATCTGGTGAGGAATGTATCTCTTTCATGAAAAAGATGTTCTCTAAACGAGTCAAAAAAATTGTTGCAGTGAATCTTAGTAATTTATTATTATATTCCCTGTGTCTTGCTTATTATTGCGTGTATTAGTGTTGTTTTCTTCGTTGTGAATCATTTTATTGTTATTATTGTTTCTGTTAGTGAAGGGGGTTATGCTAAAGATGATAAAGATGAATAAGTTGAGGGTGACTGTGCCGATGGTGTCTGTAACGATAAAACAGGATTTTGCACAAACTCTTTGCCTAGTTGAACGTAAGTGATGACAGTGGCGA